ACTGTCCTGTAGCTCCAATCAACCTTCGTGTTTCTCAGATACCCAAACGCAGCTGGTATATCTATGTCCTTGGTACGCTCTGGTTCTCCTCCTGCCTCCACCAACAGTACCTTCACATCAGGATCCTCAGACAGACGGCTAGCGAGCACACATCCTGCCGTCCCTCCTCCTCCTATAGAGATACAGCACGTGAAACATTTCCCATAACTGTGATCATAATTATTATCAGCACGCGTGTTCATTCCTACTGCCCGGTCCGTACTATTACCTGTCCACTAATATTTATTATTAAATCTTCTATATATACTTCTGTTAACGTTATAGGTATACTTTCAATATCTGAACGACCACCAGCTTCGTATTATTAGGACATAATAGTGACAACCAAGGTGCTTATAACAACAAAAACAAACAATAAAAACATGTACAATAACATAAGCAAAGTAATGGCTCAGTCACACATACGCGACGTACGGCCCACGCATTAAAAATTAATCAAAAAATGGAAAATAAGATCAGTGCGTCGTTGTGCGCCCAACTTTTGTCAGGATTTTGGAGAAGGTAGCGAGTTGACAACGAATGCACAGCGTGTTGCTAGCGCGCTGCGCGTATACAGGACGCATACAGACTACAGAGCATATACAGGGCGCACATGTTAAAAAATCTAACGAATGCACAGCGTGTTGCTAGCTCACGGAACGAATGGTCCGCGCATGCACCGCGCATTCAACGCACAGCCAGCGAACGGTCAGGTCAGCGAACGAACAGGTCAAGGATATAGTGTTGTGAGGCACCCTCCACCCATAGGACATTGAGTGATACTTGGTCCCAGAGTCAAGATGCCGCAGAGTGAGGGCAAGCTTCAGGCCAGGGCCGATGGCCTCTCTGTAGGTTGTATTCTGCTTGATGATCCTCGGACCCATTCTGGTTAGCAGCTGGTCGAACATTTCGGGGGGGGGGATCGCATAAAGTTCTTGAAGGCTGCCTGGTCCTTGTTCCGGAGTTCAACAAGTAGCTGGTTATACAGGCCAAACTGTCGTCGCCTACCGATCCACGGTCGGACCCAGAACCTCCGTTGACCTCTTCTCTTTCTCCTTCTCCTGATGACATGGACTTGGTGAAGTGCCAGTTCCATGAGGTTCTGCTGATGTTGGAGAACCGCGATTTCGTATTGTAGTCGCAGCCTGTCGGGATCCTCCATCTTCTGAGGTGGTTCTTCTAGACACGATCAGCAGGAACCTCTGTCATCACCCATGAGGGTCGGTGGAGAAGTGATGATGAGGTTGTGGGGCGGGACCCATTTATATACCCCATGGCTACACGCTGCGTACACGCTAGCAACACGCTAGAAGAACGCTGGGCGCGCTACAGACTCGTTTAGCACTCGTTCAGCACGCCCATATTCGCTGCATGTTCGCTGGACATGCGTTAGAAGCACGCTAGGTGTGCGCTAGGTGTGCGCTAGGTGTTCGCTACACCTCAGCCGACGAACATACAACGAATACCCAGCGTGTGCTCCGCGTGTGTCTGCATGGCGTTGGTCCAGCGCGCTCTGTGCGTGTCATGCGTCCTTCTGGCGTGTTCATTCATGCGTCGAGCTCCGCGTACATTTTTATGCATGCACAAAAATCCCGACGCACACAGCAAATGACAACGAATGCATAGCGTTGCTCCAGTGCGCTCGACGAACGAGTACTGCTCGAAGAACGATTGCTGACGCCCACCCAGCGAAAGACAACGCACTGGCCAAAATTGTTAATTTTACAGTGCGCGGGTCGTGCGTCGTGTATGTGTGACTGGGCCATAACATAACAGTAACACAAAATAAACGAAAACGTTAAAACAAAAAAGTGTTTGTATTCACTCGATCCTTATATTATCCATATATTTCCAGTAGGCCTGCCTATTCGACTAATGAATAACTTGCTCACAATCTTTGACATCCATCGCAGTGATTACTATAGCTCGTTGCCTTTCTCAAGAGATTACATCTCTCGGTGTGGGATTCAAGAGTTTATATGGTTACGTTGTTTTTTATTCGTGATTATTGGTTGATTTTATGCTCACATTGATTATCCACGCATATATATATTCTAAAGGTGCGTTGAGGAATTGTGGACAACGAACATCTATTCCGATGCTATAACTTATGATAGACACGCGCGACACGCTAGACTCGACACAGATGTGGGGTTGGACTCACCTATAATATAATCGTAGACATCGTCGGGATCCTCTACGCTGTATGTGAGGTTCTGACCGCTTCTCATGTACATCACTGCTGCAACCAGCACAACGAGGGGAAGCAGTGCCTTCTTCATTATGGTAATACTCAGCAGGACTAGAGTCCTGGTCCAGCTCGCCCTTACTGAACACCAGCAACAACGAAACGCTTCGCGGTTAAAGTGTGCCTACATACACACGCCGAGGGTAGGAAGGCTGGACCAAATGTAAGGTCTGAAGGACATGTGTGACGAAACCGTCTTATCGTCAAATGTTGATTTAATACGCAAGGCCTATATTCGAATGGGCCCTTATCATTTCTCCAGGCTATATGTAGGCCTAGCTGGATTTATTATTTGACATTTCCTTAGCTAGCTAATTACAGCCGGGGTAACGGGGAACTGTTTTGCGATTTAATCCAGTCGGCACACTTTTTTGTGCTTTATATATTCTACCAGAAGCCTTTACTCACAGCCTTTGATCTCCAAATATTAGATCTGACACGTTATCGCTAGATCACTACTATTTCCTTATTCTCGTATATATATATATATATATATATAGGTCGTGTGTACATTCAAGGCCCTATAGAAATCTAACTAGTGCAAATATTCGTATTTATATAACTTAACGAAAAAAGTTCTTGCAATATCTGACAGCCTGTAAATCTTGTGCTCCAAACACTTTACATTAGTTAAAGTTCAATTTAGGGTATTTTCTACGAGATTCTTTCACTCTCAAAACATTACAAACAACGGTATTATGGGGTAATGTTGATGTAGTATATTACATTACTACTATCTTTATTTCAAATAACCTTCAGGTTATAAGACTGTGATGACTTGGGAGGTATGTCTGTGCAGTACCAGTGTGTAACTATTTTTAAGAACATGGTTAACAACAGTGCCATATTCTATCAACAAGATCAAAATTCAAATTGTCATTTTTAAACATAAATACGTTCTTATTCAAATACATTGTTTTGAAGAGCATAAGAATAGCAGGTTGTGGAAATCATAGAATCCTATAGGTTGGTAAAAAGGCTCATTTTACAATGCACGAGCGTTTTGTAAGTCACTGATAAGCTATAGCATCTCGCGTCACTATCTACCTGCACATATCAACTAGGGCTGCGCCTATATTTCATCAATATACTACGCTTTCTCAAAATATAAATGGAATGAAGTAGTTTTGCATCATCACTTCTTTACAGCGCGTATCATGTCGGCAGCCTTCTCAGCGATCATGATGACGGGCGCATGCGTGTTTCCCGCCACGATTTCCGGCATGATGGAGGCATCCACGACCCTCAGTCCTTCTACTCCACGCACCCTGAAACACACGAGTGGGTGGGTCATACACTGACACGAGTCGCATGATTACTACATCGCACATATCATTTCAACTATAAATATTTAACAGGTTACCAACGTTAAAACAAACTTACTCTATATCGCTTAATGGGGGCCAGTTATGAATAAACCTATATTTAAAGCCTATGGGAACCCTATTATAGAAAGCATAGGCTTGACCTTCTATTCCCGTGATTCTAATACTAATTGTGCCTGCTAAAATTGAGCGTGCTTCTTAAAGAAGTGACCCCAACTGCTCGGACTGTCCGTAAATGTTTCCTTACTAACCTCAGCTGCGGATCAACGACGGCAGACGGATCGTTGCTGGCGCCCATCTTACAGGTTCCCGTCGGATGGTAAATTGTAGCAGCCATGTTGCGTGCAACACACTCTAGGTATTTGTCACCTGTGTATGATCATCATGGCAGATGAAGCATTATAGAGACCCGGC